TGGTCAGAGTGAATGATTAACCTGAACCTGTCATCGACACGACTGAACTTCCTGCGTCAAACCTGGCCTGGTTTGACTTCCTGTTTCATACCAGCGTCTCTGCTTCACCAGTTTCAGGCAGACTGTGGTTAACCCTACTGTTGCCTCGCACGTATTGCACAAACGTAGCCAACGTTCTGATGACTCACGGCGTCCAATCAAATCCCACCGTCTTCTGAAGTCTTTCTGTTTCATCAGGAACATCAACGGTTCAACCACAGACTTTTACTCTTCTAAAAAAAAACCCCAGCGTGGAGCCTGTGGAGTCGGTGGACTGAAGGTCGCCCGGTGTTCTTTCCTCACCAGGTCGTCGTCTTGACTCACAGCAGGAGTTTCATGTCGTGGCGAAATTCTTACGTAAAACTGAGGTCAATTTTTTGCAACATTTCCAAATAAGAACCGTTCATGTATTAGTAACGTTCTGTGACACCACGTATCCAGCCCAAACTACCACTGATCAGTAGATCAGAGGAAAACAAAACAGAAAACTGTGTTTGACCAGAGTTGGGCAGGTTGTGGATTAAAGCCCGGTTCTTCGTCCTAACAGAACCCTGTGACCTTTGATCTACACAGGAGTCAAACAACCACATGCTGCTAACGGCTGTCGACTCTGGACCGGGTCGTGTCCATATGAGCTGCTGTGGTTCTGTGAGTCTACATTCCTTCGTTCCTCCTCCCATGGAGGTAGAACGCTCAGGTTCTGACTTGCCACCCAATCATTTCCTGTCTCTGCCACTGCAGTCGTGTCTTGAAGTGTTCGTCTCACATCCCCACTGACTGATCGAGCCAGAAAGAAAAACTCGCCCACAGCCAGTCTTTGGTACTGTACCCTCTGAACCCATCAAAGGACCATGAAAGGTCCAACCAGCCAAAAACCAGAGTCACAGAAACAACAACTGTCTGGGATTAGATAAGAAGAAAACACACAGGTACTTCATACACAGGAAGTACACGTTGGTACTTCATTTGTATATTTACCTTGTTGTCCTCTATTCTCTCCATCGCTGCTGCTGCTTCTTTGAAGATGATCAGAAGAAAAGCTCCCGTCTAAGAACCAGGGACCGTTGTACTGTGCACCCCCCCCTAAAACAAACCAAATAAAAAACCAAATGAGATTTCAACAAATGTGATGAAAACACAGAAGAGTTCTGTCCCAGACGGCAGACCCTGAGAACTGATCTGGACTCAGCAGCAGTTCCTCAGTTCTCTTCATGTCCACTGACCCCTCCTTCTCTTCCTCCACTCAGCCTCCTCCTCCTCTCCCCCCCCCCTCCTCCTCCTCTTTCTCATTTCTAATGGTGAAATCACTGATGGGTTTGTATTTGTTCAACTTTGATCACACTTCTTTTTAAACTAAATCCCTTCTTCTTCTTTGTTATTTTATCTCATGATAAAGACCAACCATAAATCAACAAGGACTCTGTGGAACACCTTTGTGTACCACGTGGGGTCCACGCACCCCTGTTTTGCAGAAGTCAAACTAACTTACCTGATGTTCGGTGCGTTTGTTTAGTCAAATACTCACTTCTTTCTTCTTCTTCCTCCTGCTGTGGTCTAACCTCGTCAGAGTTCCTTTGACTCCTGCTACGTTTAC